TTGATCTATCCCTTCCAAGGAACGGCTTTTCGCATCGCCGAGAAATACGATGTATTTGTTCAGTTATTTATGCAACTAAATTGCTCGGCCCGCAACAGAAGCTACTAAATTACACTTGAGCCAACCAACAGAAGTAAAACGTCAAATGCAACGGGCGAATAAGCAACCGTGTAATCAGGAGCGAATCGCATATGTTGTTACAAACAGCATCATGGGACCCCAAGCGTAAAGCGCAAATCCATTTACAGTGACGAGCACTGGCCAATCAGAATAACGAAATGTAGCGTTTAAACAAATGTCACAAAACAACGCGAATAAGAAGTGCAGACCCAAAAGTTGAAAACTAGTACAATAATTGTGTAACAACTAAATATTCCTTTAGCAAAACCAAGTAGAAAATTAGTGCGGAGAAAAACTAATGGAATGTGTTCTTGCAAATGGCACTGCTGAAGATGACACGGAGATGAGCGTCCATTAACAATGATGTGTGTGTACCAAGCGGACTAACACTGTGAAGCGTTTAAACGACAGTCAAGAAGTAGAAAATAGGAAGAATAAAGTATGGCTGTTAAGTTCGCCCATAAAAATGAATGTGAAATAGGCTTCTCCCAACACCTGCCCCTTAGAAAATGAGTTACCTGGAGGTCACACAGCTCTTCCTACGGGGGTGGGATCCACCTGGGTCCACTTGCATCCGCGACCATGGAGGTTTGGGCTCCGACCAAGACGGCAGTGTCATCTGTACAGGTGACTTGTAACCACACGAGCATTTAGAACAGGTACGGTCACTATTGCTGAGAATGACAATTGTTTCAGAAGACACATGACTCAGCGACTCTTTGGGTAAATTTAACTTCGCAATCCAATCGGTTCCGGGCCGATTATTATCCGTACAGAGACTGGGTAGATGGTTCCATAGGATTGCAAATCTTTGAGTCTGCGTTCACATGTGATTCTTTCTTTCAGCTGCAGTGGTTCTCCCGAAACATTTTGAGCCATTAGAATCATAATTTTGACTACTCTTGTGCGAAGACTTGGCCTGCTCAATCGAGAAATAGTCCTGATTGTATGCAATGTTTCTGGTTACAGCGACACCGGAACATTGATGCGTTTCAGTGTAGGGCGTTTTCTCTTCCTTGAAAAATCTGTGCGAAGCACTGCGGAAATCGCCTTGCCTGCTATGCAACGGAACTTGGTCCTTTTGCATTTGGAACTTGCTTGCAAATTTGGGATAGGCGAAGGACAGAATTTGTTCGACTCTTGACAATGATGATTTTTGCACACCAGAACTCTCCAAGAATGTTCCTCACCACCGTTCCAAGCTGCAGTCAGGGGCTTTCGGTCTGGCACATCGCGATTCATATTTTGGCTACAAATGGCTGCACGACAGAACTGGTGTTCTTTTCTGGGCTTTGAAGTTTCAATCATTTCTGAGTCGTGACTCCAAGTGAGCAGCTCGTGGCATTCAGATAGAATTTCCTGTAATGTCAACCCGTGTTCCGGTTCTCAGTTCACTTGGACATCCAGCTTTTCCGACAGCAACCGCCGCTGACTTTTTAAACTGACGTTGCTGCTGCTGCTGAAGGAGGGGCTGCACCTCCTAGAATAAAATGGTTATGACTGTTCAACACCCATCGCCAGAAAATCCGTTGTGCCGCCATTGACGCCTTCACTCCAAGACCGCAAGAAAAAGTTCAAAGTGGAGCCAGAAAGAGACTTGTATACATGAACTCACATTTGGTTATATAGTTTTGGGGGCAAAATGAAGGGAAGCTACTAAATTACACTTGGGCCAACCAACAGAAGGAAAACGTCAAATGCAACAGCGAATAAGCAACCGTGTAATCAAGAGCGAGCCGCATATGTTGTTAAAAACAGCATCATGGGACCCCAAGCGTAAAGCGAAAATCCATTTACAGTGACGGGCACTAGCCAATCAGAATAACGAAATGTAGCGTTTAAACCACAGTCAAGAAGTAGAAAATAGGAAGAATAAAAATGGCTATTAAGCTCGTTCACAAAAAATAAATGTCAAATAGCTATTCTCCTAACAGTTTCACTGTTGGGAAAGGAAAATTCTGCGCTCCTCTGTATAAGCTTCCCGCTTACTCCTAAGTAATCGACGTGAAAATGTAAAGAATATCGCCCATATCGTTTTTACATGAGATACTGAGCAGCAGATCTCTCTCCAAGAAGGCACACCTGCTAGGAGCAGGTGCCACATGACCACGACCGGATTCCTATGATCCGGGTTCGAATCGCTGACGTCCGATTCGCAGTACAAGCGTGTAATCCTCTCGGTCTCCGGGCGACTTGCTAGGAATGCCACAGAACTGGATGTTCACAGTGGCAAAGAATGCACCGGATCCTTTGCTAGTTGAATTGATAGGGAAGCGGAGGCATCTGAACTCCGGTTCAAGCCAAAACACCATAGACGTTTCCTCCTACCTGTGATACGGATCACACGCAGTTTGTCAAAGACGTCAATCCCAATCAGTCAGTTGAAAGAAAACCACCCACTAACGTAAATGAATTGTGAAGGCAAAGGATTACGCACACCTGTTGGCGCCAAGCGCCTCTCATTAGTCGTTATGGAGGTTCATTTTTGCATCATTTCAGTAAACACCGCACGAACATTTAACCAGTATCGCAGCACCAAAGAGAGCAATACTCGGCCAGCGGAAAGTGGCCAGATAGGGGCTTCAGAGGGAATGACGTACGGTCATGTGGTTAGACAGGTTGTTGCTTTATTGCGGACTGACTTCACTCCTTACCGTCGCCTACGCGGATATCCTGGTCGGTGCCTGGATGCGCTTTCCGAGGGGCACTTATACACGCGTCAGAATGTGGACTATCGCAGGAGTTTGTGCTATTAGACGGCCCTGGTGACCCACTCCAAACGATACACCTCCACTGGCCTCTGCCCGCAGATTCCCATAATCAACCTTCGACAGCTCTCCATTTTACGGAGGTGAGCCGTGAACCCGGGTGTGCCCTAACTCCATAAAACAGATAAACGCTTGAAAGTATAACATAACTTGCATGGAAAGTAGTGGATAATGTTTGTATAGGTACAAACCGATGAACGCAAGTCGAAGCATTTTAGGTTGAGACACAACCCATGGTACCAGTTATTGCAATGGGTTGCATAACTGGTTGCATCCAATCTCGATTATGTCTCTGCTGGGGTCGCGATCTGTAACAAGGCGCTTTTGCACCAGGGCGGAGGACCAATGACTTGTATCGTATCCTTTTCGTCCATATTCACTGAAAATCCCAAGATGAACAAGACGGCGGCTTGACCTCGTGAGCCACGATTATTTGTTGGCCGATTCACCTTATCAACACACACACACACACACACACACACTTCATTCATGGTTGTACGATCTTAAGAACCATAACCCAACCCCAGAGACGGGCGGCGTGGTGCGCGTGACGGTTAGATGATGCGGACCTTGCTAGGTTGATATCCGTCAACCGCTCACTCGGACAAATTCCCAGTCTACCTTGCGCTGGTGCCACGTTTTCTGTTCGCCTCCTTGTTTGCCTCCTGTTCTTTCTGAAGCGAGGATACGGCTAACATGAGCATAACCCGTCCTCTCGAGACGTAATAAATGCGTTCATTTTCGCCTTGAAGTTAACCATTCAGAGCGCCGCAATTAAATCCGGCTTGCACACCGCACTTTTCTCAATCATTTCACCCCTCCGATGTACACCCACGTTCCTTCGCCCCCCATCGGCTCCATTTTTATTCACTGCGTATGAGAGCCTACGTTGTTCAGAATAGCATCAGTCTTTATTGCTTCATTTCGACGGTAACACTGATAATCACCGTCTTCTCCGCATGTTTGCTGATGCGGTAGGTGATAAGGGTCCGCAAAACAACACGAAACCTTACCTAACCGAAAATGAATTACTGGATCCGCTAGACAAGGAATCAAAGTTTTTAACATGCAGACGGAAATGAATAAAATATTGTAAGCGTAATTGATTGGCTAGTTTTGGGGCACCCACATTGTGTCTTGGATTGTGCCACGCAGTCTCATTTGTGGCCTCCGTTGACTTTGTAGTCAGCCTCTGCCATTCCGATCACCGGAGAAGTACCCGAATACGGTCCCAGTGATCAGGAAGTCTGAAACTGACCTCAAAGTCAACCGAGGCCACCATTGAGATTGCGTGTCGCAATCCAAGATATAAGCAGGTACTCAAAAACTCGACCAGTAATTTCCAACCGTTGTGTCAAACGCTGCTCGCGGAGCTCAATGTTTTATGGATCATGACGATAACCGCCAACAACTTTGTGCCAAGTCCCACTTCCAGAGCAGGCTATCACTATCTGATGAATCTAAACCAGGATAAAACCGTTGATTGTGGTGGACAATGATAGGAGAGAGCCACACCGAAACCCTCCACACAGAGTAATTTTGTAACAAATGTGAAATTATGCTTTCCTCGGTTTTATCCCGGCACTCTGACCGACCAATTGCAATGTGGAAATGAGCGTGTTTCTACCGTCCAAAAGGGATGGGTTATTTCAATGTTAGCCGTTTCCTCGTCTCAGAACGATTAGTAAGCAAACAAGAAATCTATCACCAGGGGAAGTTTTTCAGTTTTTGTCTCAGTTGACGCGATTTCTTCCGCAATTGTGTTACTATGGTGACATGCTTGAAGGGAGCATATCAGCCATGCGGCGGTACACAGCTAGCCAAATCACTGTAACCCCATTGCATATGCACTATCGGCCTCACCATCTGGAACTGCTTTGGAACGGGCGCGCACATTCGAGCACACATGTTTACCAGCGCTTTTGATTTAACACACGTTTCTTAGGTTGTTTCGGTGGCATGGGATAGAATTGCCAGACGACATCGAGCCACGCTTCTGTCATCTATATCGGACAGAAGTAAATAAGCAGGAAATTGGTCGTGGACTACAGTGTTGGAAGCGGGTAGTATCTAACACGTGTCGCTCTTGATCTCCCACCATTCCCCTCCTAGGCTGGACACGATGTCGTCGTGGTGGAGCGGCGAAACAAACCCGGTGGTCTTTTACGTTATGGGATACCGACTATGAAACTCAGCCGCTCAGTACTGGATCGACGGATCGATTTAATGAAATCCAACGGGGTGGTCTTTGTGGTCAATACCCGCGTCGGTCCCGCTGACACCGGTGACTCCAGTCGACGAGATATTAATGCGAATTGTGGAGATCTCGTCGAAGAATGGCCAGCACATCAATTGCTTCGAGATTTCGACGCTGTGGTCTTGTGTCTTGGAGCAACTTGGCCACGTGATCTCCCCATCCCGGGTGAGTTACTGTGCGATTCTCTTCCATTTAATAATAAATATTCGTACTCCAAGTGGTATTTTCACATATGCCTCCTGCACTATCGTTAAATTCTCTCCATTTGTTTATTGCGAAAATTAGCCCTTTGCGAAGTGTTGTTCGCCTTTGAATCAATGTGTTTGTTTGTCCTTTGTGCCTCTTGCAACACACTCCGTTTTATTGCACCCCAATGGAGTACTCAAACCGCATGACCGAGTTCCATCTAGCTGTTGATCCGAATTGGGTATCCACTTGGATATATTTGGGTGTTGCTCTTCCCAACACTGGCCCAAATATATCCATTCAGGATACGGTCCTCGAGATCGGAATGACCGGGGTTTACCTCGAAATGAGCCGAGGTCTCAATAGAGGTTGCGAGTCGCAACCCAACCACACAGCGTGCTCCGTAAATTCAGCTTTGGGTATCCACTTCTTTATAAGGCCTCAGGTTCGCATCAGCCAGCGCAGTGTACATCAAAAACAGCCTGTCACTTGGTATGCACAATACGCTGGCTCTCATCAAAGGTACCCCTTGGTCAAGTAATTCACTGGGTTGGTCTCGGGCACAATAGCAGCCGCCGCGTCAGTTTAAAACGAAGCTCACTGCGTGGACTGCTGGGTCGGTTATGGATCTGAACTCGTGTGGCCACTTTGTTTCTAACCTAGTTCCGGTATTCGTAATCGGTCCTCAGATTAACCACACCCACCAGCACATTTACGTTAGCATGGAACTGATTCTTATTACTATCTGAGCCGTCTATCAGTCATCCTAATCCCACACCTCGTGTAATCTGCTTGAAGCTGTACTGGGCAAGAGATTCCGTGAGATGGCGCCGAGTAAACACTTAGGATGCTCCCCACTCACTGTCTTATGTTAGCTATCAGGATTGCGAGCTCTGCGATTGACACCTATCAAAACCTGCTTTGTCTTGTGGTAATCGTTGAGCAATCCATTTGCGCAATAGCTACTCCAGAACAAGCCAACAATGAAAGCGTAGATCCAGTTTCTGGTTTCAAAAACTCAGATAAGCGGAGCAGTACTGGATGCCTAGGTGCGCGAATTCGGATACGGACCTGCGTGAATCGCGTGGAGTGCAGTCACACTGGGAGAACTACCTGAAACACGGCCAACATCGCGGTCGTAATGGTCCAACAGACGCGCATCCGAGGCCAACCTGTCCCTGACCCTGGTTCCTTCATCTACCCACTTCCGCGATGGAATCTGAACAGGGAGCATTTGTATCACACGTAACATCTGGTACCATGACGGAACCTAACATTTCGTGCGCGCATAAAGTCTTCCGCGCAACGTTACCGTCACTCACCCCGTGGTCTGTGCACATGATTTGTTTCTAATCGCCATGCAGTACACACGAATGTTTCACCTATTTTTTGCGCACCAGCGCATATCCTGTCTATGGCTGGAATCAGGGCTATTCCTTGTGCTTGAACGAGGACAAATCAACTCACCTAACGGCTTGTCGAGACTAGGCACTACAATTTGACTTCTTTGGATCGCGCAGCAAGTAGCCAACCTACTACAAACAGTTCGGAATAAAGGCCAGTGAACCGAGAGAAAAATGCCCATTGCTGATTGGTTTGGTTGGTTAATTGAAGCAACCCCAGTTGTCTGGTCACAAGGTCACCCAATCGGACGATCGATGCGAACCGTCTAAACGTGCCGGATTTTCACACCCCGTATGTCGGCTCGTCTTGCGTCTAACTGGATGGACGGATGCAAGGGAACAAGACCCTGGCTGAATTGCGGCTGTCTGTCGGTCAGCAATCCGAAATGGGCTTATGCCGCTCGCTGTGTAGAGCCATGTGCAAATACACGTTCCGCTGGAACTGCGTCTCTGACGGTGTGTGAACTGAAAAGAAAGTGCGTAAATGGAAGAATTTTTTCACAACAATAGCTTAACATCAGGTTAAACCACTTTCTGAAAGATTTAACAAAGCCACAATCTTCCCATACTGCACGCATCAATCTGTTTAGATTAGAATTTATGTTCGGAAATTATTGAGAATACCTGTAGCTCGGGGTGTGGATGAGAAATGTCCAGCTCGGAGAACAGGACAAACTGGTGTTTTCCAGGACGGTTCGTGGCGGCCTGACAGTCAGACAGCTACCACGCATCCGGAAAAGCGCTAGACGGTTGTTTCGCCCTATTAGGACTCGCCAGCAGCCAAATCCGCCGTACCCGATCGCATAACATTACTCTTCTACGAGCCACCGACTTAAACCACTGAGCCATGGACGACGGTGGTGCACCGTCCTAATCGTAATACCAGCTGTCTGGCTTCGACGAACCTTCTCAGAAAACACCACATGTGCCTCTACGGCTACATGCTATTAAAAATGGCGTTGTTTATATGGCATCGATTTGCTTTTCTGGCTTACAAACTCGTTCTTTATTTTTGCGTATGTAGTCTACTCGGAATTAAACGCCACTGCCACATACATCTCGGAGGGATCACGTGGATAACGGCCGCAACACGATACCCCGTTGATTACATGCATGCAAACCAGGCAATCGAGGTATTCTTCAAAGGGTGTCTCTGGAATGCGTTTCCAAGAATACCGTGAACGCAAACAGCATTCCACAACACCATGTTTACCATCAACTGCAACAGTTTGCCAGATCACATGTCCAAATGATTGTGGCAACCGTTTTCCCCTGTGGCCACGAATTCCTACCACAACGTTTTATCACAGCGTTCATGGTTGTAGCTACACCCTCGAGATCCCACATACAGCTGATGGATCTTTTCTGCTGCCTTTATTGGTTCGAACAAAACAGTAGACTGCAAAATCTGGCATTCGGTTGCTTCCTAGTTACTGGCATCGCAACATACTCCACAAGCTATCTCCAACTTGAGAAACACACTATCGGGAGGATCGGGATTGTTTTCGTCCTGGGCAAGGATGTGTGAACCAAATATTCACCCTTCGTATGCTCCTCGAACATCGCCACATCTACTCGATTTCAAAAGCATAGAATATGGCATTTAGTTTAAACTAAACTATTTTCCTATTCCTCGCGGTGTTCTAAAGAGCGGTAGTGAAGGACGAAGGTATTTCTTTACTTCGTTATAGCCACTACATATGAAGGCCCAGGGAACCGGAAGGAGAGATTAATTAGCTGTGTGAGGGACGTGGCATTGATCAACTGGTTCAGGCGTCTTGGTTTGACTGTACGTTTGGCGTATGCAAAAGGAAAATGGTAGAATAATATGGGAAATAGGGATGTAGATGCTGGAGACAGAATTGGGTAGTTTATCCTTGCTGCCTATCATGTTATTTGTAGACCGCAAAGAAAGGACGTTACACGGTTTGGAAACGTGAAGTGGGCCTGCGGCAATTCAAGCGGAAAGCTGCTGAAATCAGTCCGTCATCATGACGCAGATAGCTACGTGACAGACGTGAGTGAGTGCGACTACAGCTGGCCAGAGCGGACCGCTAGTAGGTTTGAATCTGCCTAGACCAGTATCTTGAGTCTGCTCAGAAATGTGCGGCCGGAGATGATGGCATGTGACCTATAAAATTAGCCCTGTTCTGTTCCTAATACACTTCGGTCTGATAGGCCTCGGTGTTCTGTTTCTTATCCCCAGCTGGGTTTGCAGTGCGGAGAGCAGGGATAAGGGCAGCGTTCCAACTCATGTTTACATGACGGTCACAAGGGGAGCGCGGCCGAGTAAAAAACGAACGAATAAAAGACTTGAATGAGGTCAACGTTTCCTTTCCACCTCAACCATTTTAGTTTAGTTGTAATGCATGTGTGATTGAGTAAGCAGAATATGAAGAGTGGAGACAAAAAGAGTAGCTCAGACTTATTTTACCACTCACTTACAGCTCACACTTGTTGACGTGGTTGTAAGGTATGCTTTTCTGAGTAAAGTAACAAGGAGGGTCGGGGGAAAAAGCGTGAAAGGGATTCTGTCAACTTTTCATCTTCCTTTTGTGACAAGCTTCTTGGGGAGTGCATGAGCAAGAGAAAGACACTCTGCGTAGGACTTTTTGTGCTTATCTGTAATAAACACACCTATGGCCCCTTCCTCACCAAATGGTTTTTTTCATTGCAACAACTGCAGCAGTGTTCTTACATATTGTATCGTCAGACAGTTGGAAACAGCTTTTTTGTACGCTGCTTGAGATTAGCAAGCTCTTAGTTCAATAGGTAGGCGGTCCTAAATCTCAATGCATCCGTATAGGTGGAATTTTTCTCGGAACGTGTACTTGGCACTCCTGATTGCATAGATACCTTCTTGTTTGTATTTAATGGTAATATTGGGTGCGCATGTACTTTTATGAACCAAATCAAACAAGAATGTTAAGCCTAGCTTCATGCGTCTTAGCCGCAGTGTCTCCAATTGTTGCGTCTTACAACGCTCGGAGAGCGGTTTCATTTGGGCGAGGGGGTGAAGAGAGCCCTAGTGAATACACATCGCTCTTTGTCTAAACACGTGGCGCAGGATCTGACGTTTTACCCCATGGTCGTGTGCTCAGCCACTTGTATATTCCTTTACTCAGCGATTTAATTGTTCCAAGTACTTAATTCTCTGAAGCTGCACTGTGCCTCATTGTCCTACATCAGCTCACCGAACAGACGCCATAGTTCAATCACAAATGGTGAATCACTGAAAAAGACCTTTTGGGGTGTAATTCGGACAGGAACATCCGAACTTGCTTGCTTCCGGACGAGTTTGCCCATCACATGCGGATTACTCCTCTCACCTCGAATAGCGCTGCGTTTTCTCGATCACATATTGAAATTTCCCCGAGCCTTTTCTATTTTTCGAGTAACCTTCGTTATTTTGTACCACAATGAGAGTAACCTGTTCTGCTGGTTTCGTTGTATCTTCCATGTTTGGCTCTTATCAAGGCCGCAACTTGGATGGGATCGTATTCGCCATGAGTTTTCTCGAGCCCTGGCAACGCAAACAGCAACGGTTGAACGGGAACGTGAATCGATTGTCCAACCAAGGAGACATGGACAATCTTCCCTTGACCTCCTTGGCTAAAGACAAACGCGTTTTGATTTTGGGTGGAGGGGACACCGGTGTGGACTGCATGGCGACCTCACTGAGACAGGTTAGTGACTGTATCAACCGCCTGTATCAACATTACTGCGAATTAGCCTTCATGAGGCTACATGTTCGTTTGATTTTCCTTTTCTACACTTCACAAAACGATGTTATTTAGTGTATTCGTGCATTCTACATGACCTATTTGTAAGTAGACTTCTTCGAGGTGAAACCAACCATATCGTTCCTCTGACGTAGACGAGCTGCACGCCTCTTCCCGATGGAATAGATTAGCGGATTATGTTTTCCCATCAGTGCGAAGCATTTTTTCCGGAATTCGCCCGTCACCACCATTCTCCACACCTTATAACCTTTGCTGCTTGTATTTCCAGCATGCGTATTGGTTTCTCATGCGGTAAACTTGCTAACGGCTCAGGCCGTGGGCTCAAATCCCTCCACGGATTTACAGATATGTTGAATATGTTTAGAACGAATTTCGACAGTGAGTAGCCTCACCGTGAGCTAGCTCCATTTGGTCACGCGATACTATCCGCTGGTTTGGTTTTACAGTCAAACCTCTCTAAGGCGACCACTCAAGGGACCGACAAAAAGTGGTCGCCTTGGACAGGTGGTCGCAACGGACAGCTTCATGCATAGGGAAATTACTGGGGATGTCTTTGGTTAGTCGACATAGACAGGTGGCCGCCATAGTAGGTGGGACTGTATTTGGTATACCCCGGCTTTCGGCAATACCAACACATTCGCAGTTCAAGTGCCCACGTGACTGCGTCGATAGATCAGCGGGTCTCTCCACGTGTGCGAGTGCTTCACTTTTACAGCTGCCTACCAGACACCAGATTGACAACGAAACTTTGTTCCGGCCCAGCGGAATCAGCCCGCGCGCAATCATGGAAATAGGAAAGCGTGTGAGTGTGCATCACCTCTGCTTACATGTGCAACAGCCGGCACACGAACGCGCGATACAACAAGGTGGGGGGCGGCAAAAATGATGGGCAATCATTCCACTGCATTCTGTTGCCTCCTCACTTGCAAGTGCACCTTGAGGCCCATTTTTACCTTGCCCATTCCATTTACATGTGATGGGTTATTGTGCAAACCATTGAGCTACTTAATGCCTCTCGGATCCTTTCAATAGGTCCTGAAAATAGTGCACCCAACCGATCGAACTTCATGTTGCCTTACGCTTTCAGCAACACTCACGCTGGAAGGGCTGACTGTCGTGATGGCAGAAACGACGGATGAAGCTCAGTACTGTCAAAATGAGGTACTTCAGAGGACTGCATTTCTACGCAGCTCTTACAGAGCTGCCAAACCGCTTGACCACCTCCCTAAACCTACAAATGGCGTGGCGGACCTCTTTTCGGATCATGCGGTCTCATATCGCATTTGGTAACTTTAAACTGTGTCGCATCAACGCATATTTTCGAAGTGGAGAGGGATTGAGTCAAACTCAATTCCCACAGACTTTCAACCGCTCGGTGCCGTCCGGAGAGCGCGTCTTACATATGCTCACAAATTCACTTGCTATTCAACGCCACACTAAGCCTACACTTATTAATGATCCATTTTAGCCCTGATTTTGACAGCAACATGTGTCTACTCTAACTACTATTTAATTGTGATAACTATCGTAGGCGCAGATGCCCGCACAAAATCTAAGTTTGGTGAAGGTACCAAGCAAATAATTTCCAATTACCTGTGTTCTTGCTGAAATGCGACAGCAGTCACCATTTTCTATATCCAAGGGATTGTGAGTGTCTGGTGCAGCGAATTCCACCGGGAGTCTTCGGGAACACTGTCCCATGTATTACTTCACTTTTCTTTATCTTACTCCAGATTTTCTAGAACATTTGCGGTTGCTTTTTTTTAGATACTTTCTGTGAAATTGTTTTCTCAAGGCATATACTTACCGTGGATGCACTTGCTATGATGGACAGCAGTTTCCTTTCTGCCGAATCATTTTCAAGCCACAGCAAGGTTGCTTTGGTGTACCCCGTGGTCGCTTCACACGTCATTCGTTCACAACGGCCCGTTAACACTAACGAAGGGGATAAGCTAGGACGCGAACGCTCTCTCACTGTATCGTTCATTACCATTAAAGGGCGGACGTGGCTTTGTGGTAACCCACACTTGAATTAGGTAGTAAATGAAATCATGGACACGCACTTTCGCAGAGAGAAAGTCTCCGAACCACTTCCGGGTGGAATCATTAGCGGTATATTGCTGCACCTCGCATACTTGCATAAGCTAATGGAAGTTGTCTGACACCTTCTATAAACCCAGGTGTGACGTCGATTTCAGTCCTGCTTGCAGTTAGCAAGTTTTATTCCCAGCTGCGGGCATCGCGAACGCTCACGCGTCCGTCTACATGCATCAGCGTACTCCCTCCAGGTTGAAATCGGTGTTTTTGGTGCTCTCAGCACAACTTGTTACTGTATTTTGCTAGCAACGCGATGTTAGAGACTGGCCACTTACCTTTTAAGAATCCAAACAACATTGATACAAATTCCGCGCTACTGTGGAACATTTAGGAGCAACTGTATCTCAAGCTTTCTCCCACTGTTTGGGGCTTGCGGTTCGATGTCTCTTGTCCTTTAAGGTCATTGTGGAGGACAAGATACGCATCCCTCCGATAACACATCATTCTTTACTTTCAGGGAGCCAAGTCTATAACCACACTAGAGATTCTGCCTGCTCCTCCCCATTCACGAAACCCAGATGAAAACCCATGGCCCGAATATCCGCGCATATGGCGCGTCGAATACGGGCACGCCGAAGTGACACGACGCTTCGGACACGACCCTCGCATATTCAGTACCGTTACCAAGGAGTTTCTGGATAATGGTTCCGGTGCCGTCGGTGGTGTCCGTACCATGAAGGTGAATTGGAATAAGGATTTAGAAACAGGCTCGTGGCGAATGGAAGAGATCCCTGGTGAGTTTTCTGCCCATCCACATCGTGTCGGCACCCGTGCGCACGTAAGCGTCCGTCGTCAGGTCATCATTCGTGTGCTCATTTGTCATCCACTGCATCTACTGTGTCATTAGGTCCTCATTCCCTGTGCCCATGCGTATATCCATGCGTTTCAGATCATCTACCCATCAGGTTACTTTCTTGGCCATTGTTGTGGACACAACGCAATGTCGTTCGCACAGACCTCACCGCATTTCATGCTCCACTTTAACATTACGGGAGTCAAGTGTTTCCCATAAGCTATAACTGTTCGGTGCCCATGAAACACTCGCAGGCTTCAGTATTATACTCCTTCGTCTCCTCAAATTCATACCTCCCGAGGTTGTACAGCTCTATGTTTGGGTTAGCGAAAACACTATTGCCAAAGGCCAATGCTTGTCCTCTGGGCTTATGGTTCAGTCGCGGGCTGTAGTTTCCGTCTCGCGTTATCGCTTTATTGGGGGGCTACTATCTTTGGACGGTGGTCTTCATCTTCCATCCAGAGGCTAGGATACATGTTGGCGTTCGGTTGCTATTCGAATTCTGTAAACCCATTCTGTGCAGGGAGAAAATTATTTGATTCGTTTTAGCGCATCGTTATAGTAATCGACTTATTGTGCAAACTCGCATTCTCTCATCTCTGGCAGTATGTCATGCTTCCAAAGCTTAAATGTCAACTCCATGTGTTTCGTTTTTACACTCACTACATTATTATTCATGAATCGAAGATGCGCACTATCGCTCGGGCTGTAAGCCGCATGTCTGTCTCTCGAGCACAGGTAGATGGAAAAGTAACTGCCAACTTTCAAAAAGATTCCTCCACAGCTACACGGTTTGGAACTTTTTAATGCGCTCGTTATGACGAATATACAGGCCATCACTTTTTCCCCGTCAAAATGACCGATATGATGTTATGCAGTGAAGTAGCATATATTGTGCTAACGAGGACCAGGTGATAGACCGCTCATCTGGTTGGGTTGGAAATGACTTCCTTTCTTAATTAGTTTCGATCCTCGCCCCTTCCTTCCATACACATGTCCTTCGAACTAATTGATATAGTTGCCATCAATACTTTAAAAGTCGAGGGAGATTTATCACTGCCACATTTATTCGGACTTCCACTGAACATCCAGAAAACATCAAGGATGCGCATTCCATGCGCCCGGTGAGGGGGGGGGGGGCTAGAACTCGCGACCCCTCACTTTCGAGTCCGTGCTGTTAAGAGCACCTAATCACGGAATAGGAGGAGGATCGGCACTTTCCGTGCTCAAATAATTAGCTGTGATACAGTGCCGCACTGCCATATGCCTTTCCAGAGAACGAGCTTAGTCTTCCGTTCGTCAATAGTCATTTATCAGCACTGCGCCTTCTCACACAATGGTTGGAGATGTCCCGCGTTCCGATACAATATTGGCTCTGTGCACCTTCCTCAAACTTCTGAATCAGATTTCGTGTAGTGTTAACTGCATAAAAATGAACTCAGCACATTCCCTCCTCCTATGGCTTTCCCGCATTATTTATCGCATTGTTTTGATTTCTTCTACCCCCAGGTTCAGAACAAATAATCGATTGTGATCTGGTTCTGTTAGCCCTGGGTTTCGTCGGACCGGAGACCAAACTCATCGAAGAGTTGGCTTTGGGCACAGTCGCTCCACAGGCTGTGATCAAGACCACAGCGGCTGGTTCCTACGCCACCACTGTTTCCAGGGTTTATGCCGCTGGAGGTAAGCATCTCTATATTTACATGTTAATATCACCACTATGAAACGTCTCACAGTGGTAAGGTGGTGGATCGCAGGTCGATCGGATTAGAGCGTGTAATTGCTTGCAAGCCTCGAAATGCCTTATCTGCCGCAAGTGCGACTGATTCGACGATACCCAAGGGTGATCAGGTGAGAATCCATACAAGAAAGGTCTGTGTGGAATTCATTTCCTGTCACGCCATACTGTGTATGGGTTGTACCGTCGGATTCGCTCACTCCAAGCTTAGATACTCTCTCTTTCTCTCACATAGCATGATCGATTGGTCAGCGAACTTTCACGCACTGTTTGTCTAACCGCCGATCGACGTCATTCTGTCTTCTTCCTTCGTTCCCCTTTGCCCCTCTTAGCCACCGTTTTCATGGTGTTGTGACATCCGGTGAACCATTTTGGGGCTCGATTCACGATTGGCAGTTCAGATGAAGCGAATGTCTCTTCACATCCTCATCATCATTATTATTATACACGTTAGCTGCAAATGGAAAACACCTCAGCTATTGTGCCTCAATACAAAAGACAAGAAAAGGAAAACAAACAGTGGCACGCCGGCTAAGTCCCCAATAACGGATTGACATCGTTCCGGAGAGCTAACAGCTGGCTGTCGTGCCGTAAAAAGAGAGTCATATTATGCCTAACGAGTGAGATCGTGATTGGAGGGGGATGTTAAGCAGGAGGGGATGGACAAAGGAACTCACAACACAAACGCCATTGGGGCCGGCTCCAAACCATATCAGCAAGTGTGTCCAACCAAACGTGTTCACTGTCCTTAGGACCCCAGCCAAGCAGTCGGGATGCACCAACCGACGTCAACTTCCAAGTGAGGGTTTTCATTTCTCTCGACCAAGTCATCGCTTGGCTTCCCCTCCTCCTCTTTCAACCGCACCACTGGAGCACAAACAATGCACGTCGCGGAAATCGGTTTGCTGGCATGCGCAACACGTGGCCCAACCATCGGAGCCTGGTGCGTGATATAATGGTGCTGAGCGGTTCACTCGCTCTTCTTGCACCAAATACGCGGCGCCGAACACGCTCAGTGCTCAGGCGGTGCTCCCACCAGACATGACCTTAGCTGCGAACGTAGCGATGATCGAATATGACGAGCCTCTTTATGTCTGTCGACCTGATGGGCCAGATTTCACAACCATATAGGAGAGTTGAACGGGCGGCTGCATTATAAACTGCCCTTCAGGGCGAGAGTAATGTCGTGTCTGCGACACAGGTGGCGGAGATTGGCAAAAGCACGTCGAGCTTTTGCTATACGGTTCGTAACCTCATCTTCAATCCCACGGGTGCTAATATAGCTGCCAAGGTACTTGAATTCCTGAACGACTTCTAGCAGATCACCACCAAGCGTTAGCGCAGGGTTGGGTCCCTGCCAATCTTGGAGACTTTGCATTTCGATGGAGCAAAGCATAGCCCAAAACGATTGACAGCCAGTGCTAATCGGTCCACTGCTGCTTGGCATGTTTGGGAGCTGTCACAGATTAGGGCAATGTCGTCCGCATACTCCATGTCAAGAAGTCACTCACCAGAAAGTAGCTCCACACCTTCTACTTCGTGTCCAGCGAACGCTGTTTCCATGACTTCATCAATAGCGAAGTTAAAGAGGAAAGGTGACAGCGGGCAACCTTGTCTCACACCGCTGGTGATACTGACGAGTGGCGACAGTTTGCCATAAACCCTCACTCTACCCGAACTATGCGCGTACAGCGCTTTGATAATGTTTACATATTTATCAGGCACACCTTTCCTCAGCAGAGTGTCCCAAAGGGCACGTCCATCGACTGAGTCATAGGCACCTTTTATGTCACGAAACACGGTGGGTCGCCAATAAACATGGCGGTGCTCCAACAATTGACGCAAGGTGAAGATGTGGTCGATGCAGCCCCGACATCGACGAAATCCGGCTTGCTCTTCACGAATCTGGCTTTCACGAGTGTCAGTCAGTCTGTGGAGAATGACAGAGGCAAGCGATTTAGAGGCATTCGAAATCAGGCTGATCCCTCTATGATTGCCTCATTCCATACGGGAGCATCCCTTGAAAATTGGGACAATGACGGAGCCGCTCCAGTCTGTCAGGACAGTCTCTTGCTCCCAGTTTCACTAACAACTCGTGTAAGTCATCTGTTAGAGCAGGTCCCTCGAATTTGAAGAAGGCTGGGGGAATTCTATCTGCCCCTGCGGCCTTATGCCATTTCAACAGCCTGATCTCACGTTTGGCTTCTGCGCGTGAGGGCGGATCCAAGGAGACGGCCCATGGAGAAGGACGCTCAATGCCCGAAAAAGAAAACGATAAGTCAGGTTGGTTAAATTACATTGCAAAGTGTTCAGCCGAACGCTCCAAGCGTTTTGACAGGCTGTGGATCGGCTACCCACTCTTGTCGCTTATGGTCTCGCTAACACCAGGTCTCCTGCTGCCTGTTTCCCGTATCAGACGGAATAACTTACGATGATTGTCAACGGTAGCGGCTGTTTCCATCTCAGAGGCACGATGAGACCACCAGGCTTCGCGGTCTTTCTTCAGGCTAGCATGCAGTTTTGCCCTGAGATTTTTGCGAGCGTCATTGTATTCACTTCCATCCGGAATACGTTGGCGAGCATCCATAAGTTCCAGAGACTGTGTAGAGACCCAATGTCCGGTTTGGCAACTTACTTTGCCACATGAAGACATGTCTGCTAACAGTTACGTTTGACGAATATGCTACCAGTGATCTTCGACGGTGTTTAGTGGGCGCTTACTCAGCCCAGATGTCAGCGCACTTTGGTACACATTCAGAACATCTGGCTTCGCCAGCTGACTGGTGTCAATCCGTTCACATCGACGTTGCGGACGTCCACCGAAACGCACACCTGAGGTCGGCGCAGACAAGTGCGCGGTCAGAGTCAACGCTCGTGCTCCAAATCAAGCGACAGTTTTGGATACAGCCTCTCCAGCGGTAACTAATCGCGATATGGTCGATTTGCGTCCATGGCTGGCCCGAGGCTGGTGGCAGCCAAGTGCTGTGTCGAAAGTTTGTGCTCACGAGAAAGAGGCGAGCATCTTCACACAGCTGTAGCAATCGCTCACCGTTATCATTACGGGAGCCTACACCAGGTTGGCCGCCCAGGTGAAGCTCATCAGAGGACAATTTTCCGACTTGGGCGTTTAGATGGCCAGCTAACACCACAGTATCCGTGCTTCTTCTGTAACGAAGGAGCTGACAGAAATCCTCTTTTACCGAATCATTGCTACAGTTTGTAGGGGCGTAGGCCGCAATGACAAACAGGCAGACTTCGTAGCACGGAACGAACCAGCTAATCTAACGGCGCACATCCTACTGTTTACTGGGATCCAATCGATCAGGGCAGCTTCAGCCCGGGGACTCAAAACAATGCCGACGCCATCTTGACCGGCATTTGATGCTGCATCATCGCCAGACAGGCGCAATGAGAATGTGCCGCCAGTATCGCATGTGGGGGATCGCAGGGTAACCACGGAGCTCAAATGTTGCAGGCGGGTTTCTGATAAACAGCAAATATCGATCGATAGGATCTCTAGTGTGCGGGCAAGTGCTGCCTGTTGGCCAAGCTGTAGCAAAGTGCGCACGTTGAGGCATGCCAGTCTTAGCGAGACACGAGGACTGCAAAGGGAAACGGATGAACTGACGTTGTCCGCTTGGTTGAACATGGACTTGTCGACTGGATTGGAGCGGCACCCTGCGACTGTGTGTGATTTGAAACTAAAAGACAAGGGACTATTGAAGCAGTGTGGGGGAGGGCCAAGAATTGGGGGATTGAAAATGGGGGGATATAAGTAAAGTTGGAGCGGGACGATAAGGATGAACAAGTGCAAGAAGGAGGATGCGAAGAAGGGAAAGCCTGAGCAGTAGCATCCATACCCCTATCCACCCTGCTCGATGCAGCAGATAGGGCGCCGTTTATTATCCTCTGCGACGGCCAGAGCATCAAGAAATTGTTTGGTGAAGGGTTCATTGTATTGCGTGGGCAGAATACTGTCAGATTGCCCAGGCCTAGACAGGAGAATGATTAGGGTTCTCAACCAAAGCCTTTGGTTCAAAAACCTTACGCAAGGCAGTGGGTTTTGGCACCGGACTACAGAGAGACCGTTTTATGAAATAAGGAGCCACCTTCATTCCAACCCCCAACCTAGAGGACCAAAAGGCTGAGTTTGTCTGGCCTCTAACCATTGACAAATCTGGTATGAGTGACTCTGAAGGTGCAAAAGCACCACCCAGCATAGTTCAATGGATCGCTGAGGCACGCAAACCATCGCACCACGGTAAGGTCCAGCCTCATTGCGATGGGTCTTTTCACAGCAAGCTAGATAGGGCGCTGCTGGAATCATTCGCAGTTGTCTACGATTATCTCTCTTCACATAATCCTAGGCAACTGCGAATGATTCCAGCAGCGCCCTATCTAGCTTGTTGCCATCAATTATTTTCCTGCACGACATCTGTTGAATCCTCTCCTGCTAACAGCGCTTTAATAAACCTGCATCTATGGTCGCTATTCTCTCAACCTTCTTGTCTTTTCTTCAGGGAATTTCTGCGGCACTTCAACTAGGGGATTCTCCGAATGTACAACGCGAGTCGTTTGCATTTGCATGTGTGTGTGGTGTGCACACCCAATTCGAACACAGCCATTCATCTCTCATTCCGCACAATACAGCATTCCGCAATACAGCTCAATCAGAAGATATTAAAAAAGGGAAAGGGAAAAAAACAAAATAAATGTATTGCTACGCTCTCTTATGCATTAACAAGATGGGAGTGGATAGAGAAACTCACAACACAAACGCCATTGTGGTTGGTTCTCCGCCATGTCGAAAAGTGTACAGTGCACTTCACACTCGAACACAGTGCATTCGTTGAATACCGATACCTAGTGAGATTAACGACACAACTCTACGGGCTCTGCAATCCTCTTCGAATGCCGATTGTGCTGTCGAAACTGTAAGTTAAGT